GAATTAAGAAAGGGGTCTGATGTAAGTGCTGGGTAAGCAAAGCAGACGACTATTATGAATGTATTTGGCAGAGGAGAGTGCAGTAAATCTGTAATCGCTTCAGAACAGTGGTGCATTTATGGTGCGTTTATTGGCTCGTTGTCAGTAAAAGTCATTTAGAAGGTCATCTGCCACATTGCAAGCTGGACATTTCTAAGGTTTTTGAAGCAATTTTCATATTTGACCGTATGATTTTCCATCGCTGGAGCTGTAGCGTGAAGAGATGATGATTAGACAGAATGTTAAGGGCCTTGTTGTATTCTCCAAACAATCAAACTCACACTGAAATATGAAATAGAGTACAGTCTCATTCTAAACAGGCTCATAGCTCTAACAGTGTATGCTGAGACATCACACTGTCTTTAGATACTGTAAATATGTTAATCTTTTGCTGAATCAAACTAAAAATAAATGTAAAAATGTAAAATTGAATTCCATCTTGAATTCTGTGAAGAAGTTTTGATTATACAAGAGTTAGATCTGACCAGACAGTCTGATTGGTTGGAAAACAATCATTACGGTTGTAGTAACAAGTAACTAAAATTTTTGCTGTACTCTTAAGTTATTGGAACTACTTGTTTTGTAGCAGAAGACTGTCAGTATTAAAGCTACACTATGCAAGATTTGGGGATTTAGAGACCTCTCTGGTGGAAATATGTAATTGCACACAATATATGGACAAACATTTTGTATTGTGGGTTGTGCTTCGGACCGCTTTCCCGAGCGGATGAATCTGATGATTGCAAATATTGAAAACGTGTCCTTTGAGGATATGAGTGAATTATCTATTATTGTCGTCAATCTCCTTCAGTATAATGTTGATATTGCATTTGAGACCTAAACAACGAGCCAGACATTGTTCTTGAGGCTAATACATGAAGACATTTAATGTGGTCTAACAAGCTCCCGCCAGATACAACCAGACTTTTAAATGACTATTTCTATTAAATTTCTGACTAATTTACAGCCACAGTTACTTAAGGAAACAACTTAGAAAGCCTAATTAAAACAATTGAAACAGATTTTAAGGCTGTTAATTGGCCATTTGCAAAATAATGGTTGACATGCCTCTTATCCAGTCACAACCGTCTCCTCCATCAGGCGAGAGCCAAACTCTGATACAGCTCCTCAGAACAAACCTAAGACCTACATAAAGCCCTACTTGAGCTGGATTAGTTTTAAGTGGGGAGGTGCTGTAATTTGAGTGATTAGTTTGGTACTAATTCCAGAGTGATTTATCCTCTGTAATTCAGAGAACTTGGAGCTCCCGCAGTAAAAGTAGTCCTGTTCGAACCGATGTTACAGAAATGTAATAACAAAACCGGCTAGCAGGAAATGGCACCTCTGTAATTTTTTTCTTTTTTTGTGACCTGAAGACAAGGCTAACAGCTAAAATGGAGCCTGACTTGACCCGATTCTTTAATCCTCAAGTTTAGGACTAGACAACGTTTTTGGTGATGGCTGAATTACATGGAGAAGGAAAATGAAATATATCCAGTGTTTCTCACACAGCAGTGCTTTTTCTCACTGGGCGGCATTTGGTAAGCTGAATGAATGGAGCATTTGAGCAAAATCATTGTTTGTAAATGTTTCATTATGTTTATATTACAGAAATGCATTCATTTCCTGAACACAGCACTTTTGAACTCCAGTTATAGGAGTTTATAACAGTGCCGCATGTTTGTTTATGTCGTCAGTGGGTGCAAACCACTTCGCTCAGCCGAGGAGCTCATCAGCTCGCCAACCAGTCAGCACTCAGTAGCAGTAATGCTGACCAGTCCGCATTTAATAGCAGTAATGCTAACCAATCAGCACTCAGTAGCAGTAATGCTAACCAGTCAGCACTCAGTAGCAGTAATGCTAACCAGTCAGCATTTAATAGCAGTAATGCTAACCAATCAGCACTCAGTAGCAGTAATGCTAACCTGTCAGCACTCAGTATCAGTAATACTAACCAGTCAGCACTCAGTAGCAGTAATGCTAACCAGTCAGCACTGAGTAGCAGTAATGCCAACCAGTCAGCACTCAGTTTCAGTAATGCTAACCAGTCAGCATTTAATAGCAGTAATGCTAACCAATCAGCACTCAGTAGCAGTAATGCTAACCAGTCAGCACTCAGTAGCAGTAATGCTAACCAATCAGCACTCAGTAGCAGTAATGCTAACCAGTCAGAACTCAGTAGCAGTAATGCCAACCAATCAGCACTCAGTAGCAGTAATGCTAACCAGTCAGCACTTAGTAGCAGTAATGCTAACCAATCAGCACTCAGTAGCAGTAATGCTAACCAATCAGAACTCAGTAGCAGTAATGCCAACCAGTCAGCACTCAGTAGCAGTAATGCTAACCAGTCAGCACTCAGTAGCAGTAATGCTAACCAATCAGCACTCAGTAGCAAGAAATGCTAACTAATCAACACTCAGTAGCAGTAATGCTAACCAATCAGCACTCAGTAGCAGTAATGCCAACCAGTCAGCACTCAGTAGCAGTAATGCTAACCAGTCAGCACTCAGTAGCAGTAATGCTAACCAGTCAGCACTCAGTAGCAAGAAATGCTAACTAATCAACACTCAGTAGCAGTAATGCTAACAAATCAGCACTCAGTAACAGTAATGCTAACCAGTCATCACTCAGCAGCAGTAATGCTAACCAGTCAGCACTCAGTAGCAGTAATGCTAACCAGTCAGCACTCAGTAGCAGTAATGCTAACCAGTCAGCACTCAGTAGCAGTAATGCTAACCAATCAGCACTCAGTAGCAAGAAATGCTAACTAATCAACACTCAGTAGCAGTAATGCTAACAAATCAGCACTCAGTAACAGTAATGCTAACCAGTCAGCACTCAGTAGCAGTAATGCCAACCAGTCAGCACTCAGTAGCAGTAATGCTAACCAGTCAGCACTCAGTAGCAGTAATGCTAACCAATCAGCACTCAGTAGCAAGAAATGCTAACTAATCAACACTCAGTAGCAGTAATGCTAACAAATCAGCACTCAGTAACAGTAATGCTAACCAGTCATCACTCAGCAGCAGTAATGCTAACCAGTCAGCACTCAGCAACAGTAATGCTAACCAGTCAGCACTCAGTAGCAGTAATGCTAACCAATCAGAACTCAGTAGCAGTAATGCCAACCAGTCAGCACTCAGTAGCAGTAATGCTAACCAGTCAGCACTCAGTAGCAGTAATGCTAACCAATCAGCACTCAGTAGCAAGAAATGCTAACTAATCAACACTCAGTAGCAGTAATGCTAACAAATCAGCACTCAGCAACAGTAATGCTAACCAGTCAGCACTCAGTAGCAGTAATGCTAACCAGTCAGCACTCAGTAGCAGTAATGCTAACAAATCAGCACTCAGTAACAGTAATGCTAACCAGTCATCACTCAGCAGCAGTAATGCTAACCAGTCAGCACTCAGCAACAGTAATGCTAACCAGTCAGCACTCAGTAGCAGTAATGCTAACCAATCAGAACTCAGTAGCAGTAATGCCAACCAGTCAGCACTCAGTAGCAGTAATGCTAACCAGTCAGCACTCAGTAGCAGTAATGCTAACCAATCAGCACTCAGTAGCAAGAAATGCTAACTAATCAACACTCAGTAGCAGTAATGCTAACAAATCAGCACTCAGCAACAGTAATGCTAACCAGTCAGCACTCAGTAGCAGTAATGCTAACCAATCAGCACTTAGTATCAGTAATGCTCGCTTTCTACTTACCACAAAATGTGTTTGCTTTAAGAGGGAAATATACTGGTAAGTTTTCTTTGCTTTTTAGTTAAATACATCTTTCTACTTTCTATAATTAAAGGAAAGTCTTGCACATTTGAACTTTTCGTTTTTAGCCATTCACCCCTATTCTCTGACATTTTGGCCGTCGGTGCCTTCTGGCGTTGTGCAGTCTTGTTTTTGATATAATGGGAGAAATAGGAAGTGGTCAGCCTCCCCTTAAACTGGCTCTGATTCAGCCATACAGCACGTTGTTACTGTTGGGAAGTGTGGCGCCTTCCGTAAAATGCTGACGTAAACGATTTTAATGATGATGATGTCAATTTTGGTAATATGGGGAACTTAACGCAGATCCTTTATGAATCAGACAGTCAAATTACATACAAATCACTTTACCAGACATCCTCTGATAAAAGTCATCCAGCTCAAATAGACCAACCCTGGCATTAACTTGTCTGAAGGTAAAGATTAGATCACTCACTCACACACACACACACACACACACACACACACACACACACACACATCATCTAAACCGCTTATCCTTCTGGCTTGCGGTGGGGTGCCATTGGGTGAGCTGTCATTGGGTGAAAGGCAGGATACACCCTGGACAGGTCGCCAGTCCTTCACAGGGCAAGATTAGATTAGATTAAGATTAAGATTAAGATTAACTGACCCTTATTAGTCCCACAATGGGGAAATTTCACCTCTGCATTTAACCCATCCATGCAGTGAAACACCACATACACACTAGTGAACACACACAATAGGGGGCAGTGAGCACACTTGCACACTTACATAGTATAGCCTCAGTCGCTCAAGCCTTCTCCTTTATTGGACATGAAAATCTGCTGCTTAAATAACCAGGGGCTAAAAGATTTCCCTGGGTTGATTACTGTCCATATGATTTCAGAAATTGCCCTACATCCATATTTTTTCTGTACTTCTCTGTGTGCTTAAATTTTTTTCTGTGCTACTGACTTTCGTAGTCTGGTAGAGCTGCTAACTGGTGGCCTGAGCTGAAAGTTTGATGGACATAGCGACATCCACAGGTTTTCTAGACCTTCTTTGTGTTATTGACCGCACAGTGTTCTTATCAAGTATGTAAAATAAGAATCATTTTAGTAGAGCAAAACCCTTCGTAGGTTGTCCAGCCTTTCCTGCCCACTGCCTCTTTTCATTGCTGATTTGACTGTAGTGTCAATGTTTTTCAATGTGCTTTATTGGCTTCTTTCTTTAGCTGCTGTATGCACTGGTCGGTGATATCCAGGCCTTAACCCCCAGCGCCCTTGCTACAAAGGGGCCGTTGTCGGCCCGCCAATACCGCCACATCGATCCAGCCACCGGCAGCCAGTTGGTGTGCGACAAGTGCCCGGGGGGCACCTACGTGTCGTCCCACTGCACGGAAACCAGCGTGCGTGAGTGCAGCCGCTGCCCAGAGGGAACATTCACGCGGGGTGAGAACGGTGTGCAGCAATGCCACCACTGCCAGAGACCCTGCGAGGCACCTTTCATTGAGAAGACCCCCTGCACGGCTACTTCGGACCGGACCTGTGCCTGTCCATCAGGCACTTTTGCTCAGGGGGGCGAGTGCCGTCCCCACTCGCAGTGCCCTCCTGGCTGGGGTGTCCGGAAGCAGGGAAGCGACACGGAAGACGTGCGCTGCCGCAAATGTGCGCGGGGCACCTTCTCTGACGTGGACTCAAACACGGAGAAGTGCCGGCCGCATACGGACTGCCGGACGCAAGGGCTGCCGCTGGTGCTCAAAGGCACTGAGAAGAGGGACAGTGTGTGTGGAGTGCTGCCATCAAGCCCGGCCTCAGCTTCCCCGTCCACACACGCCGCCACTGGCTCAGCACAGAGAGGTAAGAGTGGAAAGGCACCAGCAGCAGAGCGAGATCTGCCACTTAGTGTCATTAGATATAATATTTCTTTGCGCCAAGCAGGACGACTTTATCCAACGTTGCTTGAAATGTCATACGATCTATGATTAAATTTTGATTGCTTAGAAAAAGCTGGATACAACATTACAGGCCATTAATTGATACAATTGACTCATCTCATCAGATTATCATCATGGCTCAGGAGAAAGCTCGAGCTAGCATTAGCAGCTCTGCGAATATATCTAAATATATCTTTTGTCTCAGGAGATCTCGCTGGGTGATTCCATGATTCGGGTGCCATTTATGTCCCACTGATATTACATTTACAAATATCTATATAAAGTAGACAACAAACATTCTAAACGTAGTTTCACAAGTGTGTCCATTATAGATCATGAAAATTAACATTCATTCAAGTCTATTACCTGAACACATTCACCTGTACAGAATATCATACAAATAATATACAGTTCCTGAAGACCATAGGAAGAAGAAAAGTCTGTTCTCTGAGTCTTTTGTCTTTACTTTCAGTGTTATTGTGATATTGACTGACTAGATGATTTTGAAAGATAGATTAAAAGTAAATTATTGAATTAATAAATGTGAGCTATCATTCGCTGTAGCTAATCCTTTTCAAGTCAGTAAATCAAGCAAATGTACTTAATGTCCTCATATCATTAGCATGGATGCTACTCTACTAAAACAAAATCTTAGAAACCATTAAACGTTTCTGTTGGTTCCTGGTGGTGTCCAGTAGCCACTAACGGTATTTTATGTTTTCCTGATGAGTTGATATCACGATGGAAAGGAATCTGATGGTTTAATAGCTGACTGATTCTAGGTGCATTTGATGGTTAACCACGTTTTGTGCATTTGATAATTCTCTGCTAAAGAAAAAAAAAAACTCAACCCTGTCACTCATTTAAGCCACGGTCAGCAATGAAAAATAAGATTGAGTTTCTAAGATGTGTTATCCTATTTTTAAATAGTTAAATGTGTGTTTCAGGTTGGACAATGAAAAAATAAACCTTAATTTTTAAGATTTGCAAGGATGTCTGCTAAATGGCACCCAAATCATGGAATCACCCCATTAATGCATTTAGTAAACAGCATTTGTACAGTAAAAAATCAGATTTTTCTCTTAAAAGTAGTCGGTTAGTTAAGGACTGTTTGGTCTGAATTTCTTTATAGTTTTGCTCTGGAGCTTCAAGCTAAAGTATCTAACATTTAATGTAGCTAACAAAACATTGAAGCTTAAATGAAGCTTAAAACGTTGACGCTTAACTCACCACCAAACTGTGTCGAGTTGTTAAGTGCTCTCAGACTTGCTTATGTGGTTTCTGACATTGTATGACAAACTGCCTGCTAAAAAAAACAGCATTTGTTTTGTTTTGGACGCTGGTAACGCTGGTTGACCAACTAAACCAGCACTAGACCAGCTTAGACCTTCTTGGACCAGCATGCATTCCATTTGTGCTGTTTTTTTCAGCAGGGCTGTCATCTACAAATGGCTAAAAGTAAGAAAGGCTTCTGTATGGCTGCTCCTGTTTTTATGCAGAATACTTCTGTTCGTTTTTTAGTTTGTAATGTCAGCTTAAAGTACTGGTTGGCTACATTAACCTTGTAGTTCTTGTGCAAAACTAAAGAATTTTGGACACCAAAACTGTGTAGGCTGGTTGACTACATCTGAGATTAGGGAAAAACTGTGAACAGTAAATTGCTGACCAATCCACTGCTTTAGAGGGAGATCGCTGTATTACAATGGCACTAAACGAGCCATTGCAGTGTTCTGTTGTTATTGCAGTAGAAACCGCCCATTGATGCTGCTAAGTGGTAAAGGAACAATACCCACAATGCATTTCATTACCATTGTCTCAACATGGGATGGTGAAACCTGCAGTAAGATGTTTACAGTATTCAAGCATGTTTTTGAGCACCAAGCATGACAGCAGTGTAGCTGTTTTTTAATTCATGGCATGTAAACAAGTGAAAGACACCAGTGATGTAAACTGTTATGCCATTTTTCCTGTAACTAACCATGAAATATTTAAAGGTGAAGTCCAACAATTATTCAAAAACTTGTCTAATTCAATAATTAAGATAACAAGATAACATTAACGGGTGCATTTAAAATGGTTTGATGTGAACCTAAAGAGTCAGAAATGTCCAAAATGGGGATAAAAGCAACCAAATGTCCAAAGTGTTTAATGCTCCTAAAAGCTACATCACAGAAGGTCATTACACTAAATGGTTATGAATAAGATGTGTGGTGTCTGTAAGACTGTTTACCAATAGTTTTATAGATAGTAGAGATAAGGTTTCGACCTGACCTGAAACATTTTTAACGTTCATTCATGGGGGAGGTGTCTATATAGGTGTTATAAGGCAAAATAGTTCCTAAATAGACTTTTTTTTCAGATTGACCACTATTTTATTTTCAACTTTAGGTTCATTGGTCAGTTTGGATAGTAAATAAAATGGTAATATTTGCATTGTAGACACCATAACCTCTGCTTCCTATCACCACCACTGTAAAGAAACATGAGTCTCTAAGTTTCTCTACAATGCATCAATTCATATCAAACCACTCCGAATGACTTTGTTTACATCTCATCTACTGAATAATGCAGAACAAGAGAAATTTTAATGAAAAACTGTGGACAATCAAATTCAGCTACCCCCTGATTGTAGATTGAGTGTATACAGTGCATCGAGATGATTGCTGCCATTCTTTGGCAATTAAATGTTACGTTCAGTCAGTCCTTGACTGCAAACACCTGAAAGCAACATACAGGTCATCACAGGTCAGATCCAGCTGCAGTTCTGTCTGAAAACATCCTGTTCTTTGATGAATTGGGTGGACCAGACAATGAAAGAGTGGACTGGAGGCACGACATTATGGCATTATTAGCAGGAGGTGGAGGACAAGGTAGTCTGTGGAGTGTCAGTTAGGGGAGGAGACCCAAAGTGTGAAGTGCGATCGTTAGGAGCCTTTGTTATTCTGATCACCACCCGACCCCCCAGTATCTCAAAGAAGTTAAAGACTTTTAGCAGAGATGAGGAAACAGTTGTGTGAGGGCATTTCGTTATGTAGTTTGGGAAAGTCTGGAGGCTTTTTCGAACAGTTGAGAATTGCTTGAGGCAATATTTTCTTTACTGGACAGCCCCTGCTTGCTTTGGTAAGTTGAGATTTGGCTCATCGGTGGGATTCGCTTCTTCTTGCAAAGGTCTTTGTTCCATTTTCTTCCAACATTGTCACTTTCAGTAAGCTAGTCTGGGTAAAAGAACAGCTGAGAGAGGTCTGTGTTGTTGTTTAATCGTTTTTTTGTTGGCCTGAGGAGTATCTAGGAGTATATAGCTATAACATAAAGATAGATTCAGCATGAGGCTAGTGTTCATCAATGGTTTGTATAACACTCTGCTCAGATCACTAGTAGTAGCAAGTCTTGTTTGTGGGTGGATTTACATGCAGCGTGGTATCTTGCCAGCTACAACAGTCTGCAAGGTCTAATGAATGTTGTTGATGTGGATCATCAGCTTTCCCTAAAGTCCTTGTAAGTCTCAGTAATCCACAAGGGACAGATAGTTAATATTTCTGAAGTACTATTAGAAATAAACCTGTTTTGTTGCCTTTTAAAAATATAATCGCTTCATAACAAAACATAACCAGCTGCTTTTTACTGTTGTGTGAACATTTCATGCCAAATGGACCAACAGAAATGGTCTTAAATGATTTAAAAGAATATTTTGACATATATTAAAGTTATATAAAGTTACCATTTCAGTGGTATGTTTCTTTTAAAAGTTCACAGTGCTGTTCAAAAGTTTGGAATCACTTCACGTGTCATATTAACATGTTTTGTTATTTTATATACCATAATAACGTATATTTAAATGTTATATACACCAACAGTTATTTTTAGATGCCTTATTCAATATTTATTCAATTGCTAAATTTGCTTCAGGATCAGTAAAGTGTCTATCTATCTATCTATCTATCTATCTATCTATCTATCTACCTACCTACCTACCTACCTACCTACCTACCTTATTAAGAGTATTTTGGAATTTATTATATGATAAATCCTATACTGTAATTTGCTGTTTAGCTATTTTTTATTTTTTGTTATTATTTCTTTCTAAGTTTTCCACTTCATCTTTTGTCATTCTGGATATTCATTTTATTAGGACTTCATTCCCGACGCCAAACAGCTTTTTCAGTCATTTTAGAATCATCTACGTCTCTATTAATCATTCTGGATGCATTCAAAATGTCTTCATTTTACAGCTTCATAGCTTTCGGCTAATTATTGGAAAGCTGCACAGGACAAGTTGCACATGACTAATGTATTGCAAACATTTTATGCATTTTTCTGCAATGAAAATGGTTCCAAACGTTTGACCTGTGATTGCAAACTTTTGAACAGTGATGTAGATCTTGGTGACACTGATTTACGTTCCAGGCCTTTAGCATCTAATCTTCTTGAGAGGTTCATAAAATAGTTACAAAGTCTCAAAGTTAAGATTAACTTCGGTTTATAGGGAAGAAAGTCCCCTGAAGCAGCTAGAGGAGCAATCACTTCAGTACATGGCGTGGGAGATTATGTTGGCGACGCCGCACAGCTGGAAGCAGCCTAGCAAAGCTCCACTTTGCCTCTAACCCCGCGTGGCAGCTTGCTGGCGGCTGGGATTACCGTGTCAGATATTCTCCCTTCTGTTTTGTTGTCTGGGTTAAGCGCATCTTTAGGAGTGCATTTAATTCTCTTTATCTTTCTCACCCGCCCACAGTGTCCCCATTACATCTCTCTCTCTCTGTCTCTCTCTGTTTCTGCCTTGTCTCTCACAGTGCCTGCAGAGGCTACTTCAGCCTGGCCATCAACAGCCGTCACAGACTTAGCAGCGCAGCCTCCCAGCAGTCCACAAATGGCCTGGGGCTTCGCAGACGTTGCCACGCCCACGAGCATCTCAGAGGCCAGCCAGGAAGACGCAGAGACCCTGAGTGCTACTACCCAGGATCCTCTGAGGAGGCACCGCAAACACCCCCCATCAAGCAACTACCAGCCTACTAATCAGAGGGCCATGGAGAGTCTGTCGGAGGCCAAGGGCCAGGGTTTGGCCTACAGGCCCATCAGGAGAGGCTCGCCGCGGCCCAGTATGCACAAGCACTTCGACATCAACGAGCACCTGCCCTGGATGATTGTGTTACTGCTGCTTCTGGTGCTGGTGGTGATTGTGGTGTGCAGCATCAAACGCAGCTCACGGGTGCTCAAGAAGGGTCCCAGGCAGGACCCCAGCAGCATCATGGAGAAAGCCATTCACAAGAAGCCCAGCTCCCCTGCACAAATCAAGGAGAAGTGGATCTACTGCTCCAACGGCCAAGGTGAGAACTGCTTCTAATGCAGTGTTATTCACCGTTATTTCATTTGTTCCACAGACGAGTTTGTCAGAAAACTTATCAACACAGTCATCTGCTTAACCCACATATAATCAGTCAACTAAGACGTCTTTGGTGCCTAAAGTTTGCTTCTTCAGTATAGCACTGGAGCTATGAGGCTAATGTAGCTAAGCAATGGAAGCTTGTACTTAACCCTTGTGTGGTGTTGATGTGTGTGTTACTCAGTGGTCTAGTGGATCCACCACATTATTGTTTTTAAATCAATACAGTCATAGCAATTTATGTAAAAATACCAGATGTTTAAAATATCACAAGTGTCCAGTGTAGGGTTCTCCTTTAGCAGCTGTAGCCAGTCAGCAGCCTGTCCATGTTGTCCACCCTCACACACACACACACACAGACACACACACACACACAAACACATACACACACAGACACACTAACAGCAGGCCATGTAGGAGGAGAACAGAGTGAAGGACACAGCACCTCCACACTTTTACTCCCCGCGGGTTCAGCCAGCAATCTCCATTTTTGACACTTTTTAGTTTTTGACATAATTTGAAAATCCTGTTGCCCTTTACATTATGTGTAAATTTCATGATGAATGGACTAAAAGAAACGACCCAAAATGACTTGGTAAAAAGTCTGGTTCCATTGACTTACATTAAAGGTAAAGTGTGTTTTTCCTTCTCCTGTAAAGTTACCATTTTAGAGATACAAGGTTTTCTTGTTCATCTCTTACTGGATGAACTACATGCAAATAAGCTGAGTGCCAACCAATCAGGTTAATAGTACTGAAATCCTGAACAGTCCTGAAATCTGGGAATGCTGCAGCCCCCCGCCCCCCCCAACTCCCCTATTTCCCTCAACCCTGCAGTATGGTGGTGTCTCGATTCAGTGTATTTTTCAGTAAAAATAAATTCTGCCATATGCTGATATGTGAATGTTTCCCTTTCCAGTATATTAGAACATTCAGCATTTTAAAAGTACAGTATTTTTTAATAATGTGCTAGCCACAAGCTAATATATTAGCCCAGAGCAAGGACTGTGCTTTTCTTGTCTGCCCAATTTTCAGGAAAAGATGAAGGGATATTCTCAGAGGAGGGAGGATCTGGCCTCATTGTGGGCTTGCTTGTTTAATTTTTTACTGTACGTTATGTAATATAACCAGTATTAAACTGAGTGCTTCATATTTATGATATAGTGTGTTATATTGCTACACTTCTTTTAGCAGTGAATTCGTGTTCATACAGCTTGGTGTTTTGTAATAAATGAATGACGCAGGTTGAGAGAGCAGCTCATTTTTCCAGTTGGAGCCCTTGTTTTTTGCCACTGCTCACAGAACGACAGACTTTAAAGCCTGTTTTTAAACACGATCAAATTCACTTCCTTATCCAGAATTCAGCAGGTCATGTGACCACTAATTTTCCACCAGTTTCTTTTCCCCATTTACAATGTGGTGAAATCCTCATGGTATTTTCTCATAGAACTGCCCATAAGACAATGGGATTTCTGTAGATGATTGATTTTTAATCCAGATAGCATTATTACTGACTCTGAACTTGAATCTACCATTGATATTTGCTATCTAGGGATTTATATAGGAGGCTAATGACAGTATGTTCTGCTAAATACTTGCCAGCACTCATAGCCAGTGCATTGCGATGGGCACTGTGTCTGGCACAATGGGATTTCAGTGCGGTAGACCATCTGTTGATCTGTTATCACACCCGTGGACTAATCCCATTCATTTTGTCCTCAAGAGCATAACATTTTACAGTATAATCCAACAGTTACACAAGTAATGGCAGTGAAACAATGCGCTGATCATCTCTTCATATCTCTCCATGTCTTCATATTTATACCATCTCCTCACAAACATACACACCCATAGTTCTCACATACTCTGTTTACCAACTCGTTTCCAAAAAATTTGGGACGCTGTGCAAAACGTAAATAAAAATGCAATGATGTGCAAATCATTTAAACCTTATATTCCATTGTAAATAGTATAAAGACAACATATCAAATGTTGAAAACTGAGAAATTTTATTGCTTTTTGAGAAATATTTTCCCATTTTGAATTTGATGCCAGCACCATGTTTCTAAAAAAGGAAACAGGGGAAACAAAAGACTGGTAAAGGTCAATTGGCAACAGGTCTGTATTATGATTGGGTATAAAAAGAGCATCCTAGAGAGGCTGAGTCTTTCAGAGGTAAAGATGAGGAGGGGTTTATCACTCTGTGAAAAACTGCACAGGCAAATAGTTCAACAATTCAAGAATAACAATTCTCAATGTAAAATAGCAAAGAACTTGGGGATTTCATCATCTACGGTGTGTAATATCTTTAAAAGATTCAGAAATTCCAGAGAAATCTCTGTATGTAAGGGACAAGGCCGAAAAGCAGTATTTGCTGGCCGTGATCTTTGGGGATCTCAGGCGGCACTGCATTAAAAACAGACATGTTTCTGTAGTGGAAATCACTGCATGGGCTCAGAAACACTTCTGAAAACCACTGTCTGTGAAAACAGTTTGTTGCTTCCACAAATGCAAGTTGAAACTCTAAAATGCAAAGAAGAAACCAAATATAAACAGGATCCTGAAACAACGCCACCAGCAACTCTGGGCCTGAGCTCATTTAAAATGGACTGAAGGGAAGTGGAAAAGTGACCTGTGGCCCGACAAATCAACATGTGGAATTCTTATTAGAAATCAAGGGTGCTGCATCCTCCGGTCTAAAGAGGAGAGGCACCGCTCAGCTTGTTATCAGTGCACAGTTCAAAAGCCAGTATTCATGATAGTATAAGGGAGCATTAGTGCAGATGGCATGGGTGATGTGCACATCTGTGAAGGCACCATTAATGCATGATATATACATGTTTTGGAGCTGCCATCAAGACAACGTCTTTTTCAGGGAAGATCTTGCTTATTTCAGCAAGACAATGACAAACCATGTTCTGTATGTATTACAACAGCATTGCTCCATATTAAAACAGTCCAGGTGCTAAACTGACCTGCCTGCAGTCCAGACCTGTGAACTGATAACAGTTGCCACATCATGAACCAAAAAAACGACAGAGGAGACCCTGAACTGTTGAGCAGCTGAAATCATATATAAAACAAGAACGGGAAAACATTTCACTTTCAAAACTACAGCAGTGTCTCCTCAGTTCTTACAGAGGTGATGAAACACAGTGGTAAACAGGCCCCCGTCCCACCTTTTTAAATGTGTTGTTGGCATCAAATTCCAAATGGGCATATATTTTTCAAAAAACAATAAAATTTGTTTAGTTGTCTTTGTACTACTTTCAATTAAATATAGGGTTTACATATTCACATAGTACACATCAATGCATTCTGTTTTTATTTACATTTTGCAGAGCGTCCCAACTTTTTTGGAAACCAGGTTGTATACAATAGACTAAGTTCTTGGACCGAACCAAGACATTTATACTGTTATATAAAGGTCAAGTCCATTTTTATGTAGATCTGTTTACAGATAGCATAGTGTGACTTAACTAAACATGAAACACCCCCTTCATAATGCAGTGTTACATGAGTTTCCTGCTGTTTGAATAAATCAGCATTCATTTTTTTGTCCTTCCATCAACATATGATGTATATTTCTGAAAAATATGTTTAACATATTTCTCCTTGCAAAATCCTTTTTGCCTTTGTCACTCATGTTTGTTTGGGTGTCAAGGTATCACTTCACGTGTGCTACTGCAGAAAGTGCCCAAAATGTCATAAAAGCTCCCGAGATTCAGTGAAGTGATCTAAGTATTTACACATTCGGATCTACCTCAAATGGCCTTTTTAATTGGGCTTAGCTTAGGTCAGTAGGACCTTATTCAGACCATGGTGATCAAAGCGTGCTGTTTACATGATCATATCTTAATTAGACTAGGGGGATATTACACAAAGCAGGACTTCTCAGTAAGCTGGACAACGTAAGCCAAAAGTCGAGAATCGTCCACTAGGAGTGTTTTTTAATCACACTAACTGAGAAATCCTGCTTTGTGAAATACCCCCAATATTAGTTAGACTAATATTGAACCATGGAAGTGCATGTAAATGTATTTATAGGGCTTGGAAACATGATATCATGACCCAGTGTCTTATTGGTGCTCTACTATTTTGGCAGGGTTAGTCAGTCTAGGCTGGTTCTGAATAGTTAAATGAATCTTCCTTTCCTACCTGCTTTTTTGATTTTGGCAGGTCTGTAGTCCATGGACTCGGAAATATTTTGTGAGAACTGACTAACTTTTGGATCTAAGTGGCTACCAGATTAAAGATCAGAGCAAAACCAAGGAAAGCAGATAGAAAATTCTATATATAAGAGACTTCGTCTTCTCGTTTGATTAACTTTTAAAGCATGACAAGCCTGAAAAAACCACAATAAAACAGCGATCTCTTTAAGCTCCCACAGTGATTTTGAGTATTTTTAGCATGTAAACAAAGAACAAACCCTGTCCATATGGCAGAATGATCCCATAACGCAGCACAACATGATGTTCGTTCCTCTATTATCTCATTTACATGGTATGTTAGTGTTTGTTAGTGTTTTATTTACTCATGGCCATTTCTCTCTCTCTTTCTCTCTCTCTCTCTCTCCCTCTCTCTCTATTTCCTTCTTTACTGTAACCTATGACTGTATAGAAGCAGCAACATGACAGTATGTAGGGCTGCTAGGTTACAATAGTGAGACTCCAGCACTGCAGTGCCAAGCACAGACTGATGTCAGCCTGAGATATCTGTCTGTGTGTGTGTCTGTGTGTGTGTGTCTGTGTGTGTGTTAGTGCCCTGGATCCAACCTCGAGCAGTTTAAACCAGATTACTCCAGTTCTCTGTGTTTTGTTAGCCGTTGAGAGTTTATCAGTGCAATGCCAAAGGGCTGGTGGGATGGGGTGGAGAGGGGTGGTGAGTTGTCATGGGAGTTGTCTGGGTTGAGGGTGCCCACCGTGTCCGCTGCTAAAGGACTCTG